TTTCCCTCAGTTTTACTTGTGCGTCCAACTCCTTCCTACATTTTACTTTAAGCCTCTTGTTTTTCTACTAATCTGATGGAATGTTATGAATTATTCACTGTTAAAATAATGCAGCTTTTGAATTACTTATTTTCATTCTCCTTTTAAGAAAATAACTAATTTGTTTTGTGTCCCTACTAATCTCAGAAAAATAAATAGCTGCACACCCCAGAACCAATTTAAAAAAAAAAAATCTAATTCCTACCCTCGGTTTACTAACGAGCCCTGTCCCAGGTTCACTAACAAGTTACAGTGACACAGAGAACTGCTTGTGCAAGAAGAGTCTTTAAATAGGCTCGTTCACCAGATTTTGTTTTCAAACTTGGTTTCCTTGGGTTTTAGGCAGCAGTCAGACATTTCGTGTCCATTTCTTTCCTATTTGCTTAGTTGTAGTATTCCCTTAAATTCTTTCATCCTCTCTTGCCTCTTTCCCCCTCCTCCATCCTGTCCACTGCTGTCCACCTGCTGAATCAGCCGTGGCCTTCAGCCCTTTCCAGCTCCTCCTAATCTCCCCTTTTCCTCCTGCCTTGATGTGAAGGCCACACCTGGGCGCAGTATATCAGCAGTTCATTTATTCCCCTCTCCTTCTCCTCCTCTTTCTTATGCATGAGCTTGTCAACTCCCATACCACTGCTCCTCACTTACCTCTGCACCTCAGTCACCATCTGTGTTCCCCTTCCTTTATGTTGCTCCTATAGGTCCCTGACTTGCTCACCGGTTCTGTCAGGCTCTGTTATTCGCCTGCTCTGCTGCGCCCCTTTTCATCTCCTCTTAACAGCTTCATATTTCTCTTTTCCTGTGAGTATTATATCCTACCGCAAGAAGAGAAATTCTTGTTTTTTTTCCTTTGCTATAGTTTGTATTCTTTGCTGAAAAGCAATAACTTTTTTTACTAAGTTTTTTTTTCTTTATTGAGTTGTTCGAGGCTGTTGTAGATACATTTTAAAAATCACTGTTGTTCCCCTTCCTCCTCTGTAGGGGTTGCTATAAATTCATTTTAGAACCTCGCTCGGAGAACAAAAAACAATATTCTTTCAGAAATTGTACTTTTTGTCCTGCGTTTTTTCCCCCACAAGAACATTTAATACATTTAGATGTACTTGGGGATGCTCAGGCAAAAACAGTACAAACATGTCTCCATGCTAAAGTAAAAAAATAATCTTTCAAAAATGTCATTTACACCTCAAGTAATGTCTTTTTTTGTCCTATATTGGACTTTGACAATAGTCTTCCTGTGCTTTGGTCTTCTAGATCCTTCTGCTGGTACAGCACTGGGTCCAACCCTGGGCCTGTGGAAGTCCAGCTCCCTGGAGAGCCTCCAGACGGCTGTGTCTGAAGCCAAGCAGAATCACTTCCAAGCCCAGGCTCCCATTCATCGTCCGCGGCCTCACATGGTCCGTGGTCGAGGATGCAACCAGAGTTTTCGCATCGCTATTGACAAGTCCTACGATGGACCCTCTGAAGATGGTAGGTTCTCCTCAGCAGACTAGTTTGAAACGTCCCAACTTTCTGGGGTTAGGCGTTGTTTAACAATCCTGAAGAGGTGTTCCAATTTGTTAGGGTTCGACTGTTGCCCCTTAAAACTCAGCCTCAGGGGACAACGAGTGGGAGTAAAGCTGAGATGTGATTGGTCTTCACTGTTGCTACGTTATAGAAACTTTACCCAGACATTGTGTCCATTCTCAGTGCGACACGGTGCTGCCAAAGCACATCTCTCAGGCTTTTATAACACACTGGCACTGGAGAAGAGCCCCAGGCCTGCCAACAGAGCGTGCTTAGCCAAACTACCCTAATGAAATTCTACATGATTTTATCCACTCAGCAATTTAGGAAGAGCAACTTTATATCTTACAGCAGCATATTTTTTAATGCTCTACCTTGTGAACCTGTGGACATCAGGGAAGCTGAGCAGGTGTGAGATTACCTGGGGAAACGCAGCAAAACAAAACAGATTTCACTGAAACTATCATGAGATAAAGCTAATGGTTTTATAGTGACCCAAGTGAAGTGTAATTAAAATATCTGTGTTTAGTCTACAGAGGGCAGCCTTCAACTTTTTTAAAGGCCAAAGACTTATAAACTCACTTGGTCGACTGATTCCAACGCTTGGTTCCAATGTTTTTTTTTTTTTTATTGACAGGTGCTTCAACCCTATATATTTATAACATATATATACATTTTCTTCATGGTCCAAAATAAGACTCATTTTATTCAGTTTTCTAACTCTTTCTTCTGCAGAGTTAGGCTATATTTTAAACTTCTTAATGTTTTTCGACAGCTTTTTGTAAAGTCAGGAGTTGTTTTTGCCGGCTAGCGTCCTAGTCATACTAAAGTCCGTAGGTACGCTAACCACTCAAAACCTCTCACCTCCTCAGACGACGAGCTGTCAGAGCAGAGCTCGGGCCACGAAACGCCGGTTAGCACCTCCTCTCGTCAGGGCCTGGACACAGAGGAGGAGAAGAAGAACAAAACCAAGGGGAAAAAGAAGGAAAAGAAGAACAAAGTGAAGAAGAAAACAGATGATTCTGGCGAGGATTTAGACAAAAAGACCAAAAAGAAAGGATTTGGTCTCCTAAGGTAAGAGTTGTTTTCCAAACTTTCAGGATGTAAAGACTAAAGTAATTTTGGTCAAATTAGTTTTCAAATTAAATCCTCTTGCTGAAAAACAATTTTCTATTCCAACATAAGTTAGAGCATTGATTTTGATGAGAAATAAAAGGGAAACATCAGCAACAACACGCTGTCCTACTTCTGCTGATTAGTGGGATTAAGGGCGACTGGATTATTTCATGTGTACACAACCTTGGCAGTAATGGAGTGTGTCCATTATCTCTCAAGTCCAACCCAGTATCAACCCAAAAAGGCTTGTCACAGCTTTATCAATGTGCCGCCCCCCCGATTGTGGTTGGTCCAATCCTCCAACAGCAGCGACCCTTATCTTTAGTGACAGTGACACGGCGTGGTCAGTGTATCACTGCACTCCCAACGCTCGCCGATTCAATTAGGCTGAGCATGAGATAGCACAGGCAGCTAACGTTGGCACACAGATGGAAGATAAGAATCCAATCGGCCACCGTGTCAGGGCCGGTAATGGAAGAGATGTGGATTCAGGAGCAGAGAGTGAGAGCTCTGGACAGACGAAGGCAAAAACAAGGACACACGCTGCTAATGTTACACTGTAGTCAAACACAACAGTCATCCGCTGACTCCAGAGGATGTTGTACACTTTCTTAATGATGATGGGACAGGTTAAGATTTCATGAATGGCCTTTCAAACCTGATTGGTGTAAAAGTAAATTATGAATCTGCTGTTTTAAATGCTGAAAATGAAAATTGAACACGTAGGAGCTTCCAGCCTGCAGTCCAGATTTGTTCTCTCTTTAAAATCCTGCTGTGCAGTTTGAAGGCAAGGATCAGGATGATGGCCACTGACTGCTGAGCAGCTTTGGAAAGTTGTTTTTGAGAGCAGGAAACCAGACGGTGGTTCTAACTCGAAATCGGCTCCTATTTTAGCACCAGCTTACTCGCATCCATTTTTTCTTGGATATTTCCTTTTACTGCACACATGAAGGTTTGTACTGTTCCTCTGCAGAAGCTTCACGCAAATATGTAAAAGCTGACACTGCTAGCTGTGTGACAGATTGTGTTTGTACGGGTTTTGGAAGAAGATCACAGCAGATCCATGGCGTACCGTTTCCCCTTTTTTTCTCTCTAACTTCTGTTCTCATGTGGATGTGTGGGTTTTTTGTGTTTTCTTTCTGTTCTTACTTCCTTCATCTCCAGCTCATGGCCGCTCTGACTGCAGGGGTTATTTGCTTTCGCACTAAGCCAAGTCAGTCAAAGTCGTCTTGCCATTTGAAGTGTCCAACTTTAATTTGGACACACATCAGTGTCTGGCAGGCGTTGTGGTAAAAGGGGAAGGGGAGCAGCTTGAGAAGCAGACAAGTTATCAGGTGAAACACCAGGAGCAGCAGTAGCAGCGTGGCTGTGATAAACGCTCGTGCTAACTGCATGAGAGGAAACTCCAAAAGCCAGACGCAGCCTCGCTCGATTTCCCATGATACTTGGGTCTATTAGCTTTTGGCCACAGACGTGTTTATCAAGGAGCATGCCGTCATTGACGTCTTTCATTATTTCCTCTCACACCCACAGCCTCTTTGAATGGGCCCACAACAATCAGAAACACTCAAACACACACACAATGAGAGCTTTTCTGACTCCACAATCAGGGCTTGCTTTTGTGAACAGCTTCCAGCCTCTCTCCCTGGCCTTTATCGGGCCGACTCAATTGTTATTGAACTTGAAATATGACTTAATTAGCTAGAGTATTGCGCCATTCCATCTAATTGTAGCTCTCAAATGTTATTTTCCTCCAATGGACACATTAGGAAAAGGGCAAATTATAAACGTCTGACCTTAATTTCCCTCTGCTTTGAAGTGTGCACAAAAGTAAACCGCTGACAGCATGGATGTTGGAAGAAGTCACCGTTCTTCTCCTCAATATAAACGTGTACTCTGTTTTTAGAGAACATCTTTATCTTCGCAGCAATTCACAACATCACAGCAGCTGCCTATAGATTGACCTGTGCATATCTTGTCATGGAAACGCATTTTAAAGGCACGGAGCTTCAGTAGCATCTGCCTACTGTGTAATTTTGTATAATGTGACGTATCTTTGTTAGATATGACCCCTACCTCTAGGTGGTGCTAAGGATTCTTTGAGAACTATTCAGTTAAATTAATAAAAAAGGGAAACCATGTGGTTGGTTTAATCTCATTATTATTATAACGTGAACTTGGTGAAAACCACTTCCACGGGAAATACATAAACAATTGAAGTGGCTGAGGATTGTTCACTACATGATTGAAACCACTGCATAAAACTGCAAATCATCACAGACACGTAGCACCTGGCAAGCCGCAGGCTCAGTACAGTAGCATCCACCAAGTAAGCCGTGTCTGGCCATACCATATAGGCGGCAGGCTATCATTGTGCTACTACAACTGGGGGCTTCTCTTTATTGTCAGTTTCCTCACATACCACAATCCTGCTGGACTGTCTCTAAGATTTGAGTGCAGACAAATGGCAGTGGCCTTCAGACCTGCCTTAGTGGAGGTTGACTGCTTGTCTTGTCTGTATTCCTCAGACGGCAGTGAAGTCTTTGCCTGGAACTTAGCCCCGGGGCTTGAGAGCAGTGAACACTGGAGCTCAGCCTGTTTTTCTTTCTCTGTGCGTTTTTTTCTGTGATCTGAACACAGAGAGAATAACCAGGTCAAAAAGCTATTCGACATCTGTATCCTACAGCCATCTTTATTCACATGCGTTTAGGCTGCTGCTCTGTGTTTCCTATAGGACAAAATGTGTATAAAGAAATAATACAGCAGACATAAATGTTTGTGTCAAGTGATAAAAAAAGAAAGTTTATGACAGAAATCTATAAAACGCTACTTACTCAAATTACTCAGAGAGAAATTTCTGGCTTCAGAGGTTTCATAAATGGATGGTCCAGGTTTTTTCTTATTGAAGTGGAGGACCGTTGAAGTCAGCACTGACTTTGCCTCCAGTGATTCCAGACGAGTCGAGTCGAGCTTTTACTTATCTGTGTGATTAGACACAGCATGGTCTGATCCAGCATGATGTAATCAGCTGGTCATGGTTTGAAGATGATAGCTTGTGACTAACATCCGCTGACTGTGTGGAGTGTCTCACGCTTTTGAGTGTCAACGGACTGGCAGCTAAATGCCAAAGCCACATGTAGATTTCATTTTGTTAATTCTCCTCACCGATGCGTGAACATATGTCACTTATGACTGGCTGTGTTGTCGTTATGTCGCCTGCTGGGCCCTGACACGTCCCTCTCTCCACTCAGTGCTATCAGTAGAGATCAATGTGGAGTGGGATTCACACTCTGACATCCCTGCACCGATCTATAAACAAAGGAAGGATTTGGATTTAGTGAGAAGTGACTCTTGACTCAATGATACACTTGACAAGACATCAGACACATCCGTTCTCCTCTAAAGGAGGAAGGAAGTACTAATGCTATCCCTCAGCTAAATTCCTACATTTGTTAAAAATGTAGGAATAGTATTAGGTATTAAAGGAGCATCCACCAAAAGAGGGCTGGCCAATACGTAGATGCTGATCAACCAGTAGATCATAGAGGGAGTGAAGGTGGATCAGGAGCAGTTAAAATAAAAATAAATAAAATAGTATGTAGTATCGACCATGTACTGTATGGATTGAATCATGTTGTGCCATAGAACTACACGCATTAATCAGTACCCCAACATATAATGTACCGTATATATAAATGAAGTTCAGTTACATTACGTTAGAGGGAAGAAAGCAAGTGAGAAAAGAAGTGTAAATTATAAGTCTTTGATATTTCTACACGACTCCGCTCCGACACATTGGTGTGAGCGACTCAGCCCTGAGTCTGAGCTGTGATGGTTAATGCGGTGCAGACAGATTTCTTTGATCCATAATCCCATCAGGCATTTAAGGGCTGTTAGCCGCGCTGATATAGAGCCGCGGCTTCAAGAGAGTATTTATTAATGCCGGTATTCTCTTTTGTAAAATATGCATAAGGCCATACATTTTGCAGAAAGGACGTGGCTGATCTCTATAGGCGTTCCATTCCTCTGCCTTCATCGCTATTCTCCACTTCATCTTTACATCAATAATGTATGCAGCAACTGCAGCATTATTGTTGTCTTTCTGGTCAACACACAGCTGCAGCTCAGTGACAGTGGCTGTGATGAAGGGATAGAGCCTTGACTAAAGTGTGGATGTGACCCCT